TTCCGACCCTAGAAACCATGAAACTATAACATTATGTTCTGTTTTTTCCTTTCCACATGATGGAATTTCTTTTCACATGTTCTGAAATAGGCCACAGCTGGCTACATAATAACCAGCTGACCAACAGTGTTTCATTTTTCCTTATGTTTCCCTTTATTTCTGTATCTACCAATGTCTCTTCCTTTTTGCTTAGGACTTTGAGATCCTTACCAGGAGCAGCCTTCTATTCTGTGGCACTGCTGTAAACAACTTGGAATGTCTCCAACAGAAAATATTAGTCATATTTTGGGTTGCTTTCCAAATAACTTGTTTGGCTCCCCTGCTTCAGAAACTGATCTTTTTGGGAGTTTCCTTGGGCATAAGTGGGTTTTTACAATGGAAAGCAAGCTGCAATCTTGGATCCTTCATACTTTGTGGAAAATAATAAGATGTTTGCTGGTAGTGGAGGGAATGTACAGAGGCATTAGAAGAAAATTCAAATCCATTCACTTCATCCACATTTTCAAAAAATTGCTGGATTTTTTTTCAATGTTGATTTCAACATTCAACACCTTATTTGACATTGTTCTGCTAACAGCAGAATCCTGGAAAACATTACTCATCTGACTAGCTCTCTTATCCCATTTAGTCACACTTGAGTCATTGAAGCATTGAGGACAATGGAACTGAAGTGAATACAAACTGTATGTGGGAGTAATGGACTGACAAGATCTGGCCCCACATTACTCCAGCAAAGTGGTTTAAAAGTTTAAAAGACTTGCTCACTCCCACTCTCAAAGCTCATGTTTTCCTCTTGTTTTCACTTGCCCTATTAGGTTTCTATCATTGAGCAAAAAGATAAAGGTCTTGGTCACAAGAAATCAAGTTCCCTTTGTGCCATTTGTAAGAATTGAGGTGTTAGCCCCAAGGTCCATGTGAGTAGACATCCTCAGTGCCTTGATTGCTTTGCAGTTCCAACCAGATTCTTCATAATGGTTTAGAAGGCAGCAAAGGTACACACAGATGTCCAAGGACCTAGCAGCATGAGCAACTCTGTATGCATGTCAGCAGTGATCTCAAGCACACAGTGCTGCTCTACACAGGCTGCCTCCTCTATAAGAAACAGTGATGTTGTGTTTATGTAGTGTTTCAAGTGCACTAATCAACCCTGCTGCATGACAGGGACATCCCCCCATATCTCAAAGAGGCAGCTGCACTGCTTATGGCTTAGCACAGAACTGTCCAATTGGCAGCCCACAAGTGGTTAACTCATGGCTCATGGACTCCTCCCACCTTTAACCTCCTTGGCTCCCTGCCTTTTCCCCTATGGGTCCATGCACCATTTCCAACCAGCCATTGCTATCTCTCTCCATCTCCAACTCCTGCTATTGCTGCCCATCACTTGCTCCCTTCTGGTTCACTGGGGACTTCCCCTCCCACCTTGAGGCTCTGCTTCCTGATGCTGCCAATAGAGGTAGTACAGCCCCTGGGCACTCAGAAGTTGGCTTGGGAGACATCTGGTCTAGAGTAATGCAATGTGCCTGAAGGTGCTGATGCTGGGCATGGTAAGCTTACTGCAGAGGCATGGCCTTGATGACTAGAAAAGCAAATTTTCCAGAAAAATACCAGATATTAAAGGGAAAGGATTTATAACAAATGCTGAGATGTGCCACATATAGTTCGACAACCCTCTTTGGCAAAGATTAACCAGGAGAGAAAATGGATGTCTCATGTAAGCAAGACATCAGCAGGTCTACCCTAGTAGACACACCATCGGATACCTGAAGGAATACACAGAACAGTGATCTGAAAGAACCCCTCCATCAAACACTACACACAAAGGGAAAACTAAGATTCAGCACTACAAAGGACATGCACAGAGTGGCCTGGGGTAGACAGGGATGTTGGGGTTTTACTCATGCACTACATAAAAAAATGTGTTTTCTCAATCTCTTCTTCAAGTTATTGGTAGAAAAACATTCTTGTCTTCATCACTAGTTTGAAGGGTAGGCACATACTAAACAATGTGATGAAGCCATTCTGTGTATGTGCTCTAAGTGTCATAACTCGAATAGATAAAGCAAGGGAGCTTTTACAGAAAGATAGTAAGCTGTTTCTAATACCAACGCCTACTCCCTGCTCTCCTTTCTCCTGTTGGCTTTCCATTCCAGAATATGGTGTAATCATTCTCTTGGATAGAAAAGGTATCTGAGAGCCCAGTTTCTGATAATGCAGCAACAGCAATTCTGAGTCTAACCAATTCGTAATTTAGACGTACTGTTTTCTGTAAATCAGAGTCCAAATTGAACCTAGGGGTCAGAGTCCAAACATTTCAGCATGTGAAATGCTTTATCATTTTGACTAGTATGGATCATACAGAGACTTTTAGTGTGTATGCCAAGGCAAGAGTATGGAGGAGTGAAGACTGCCCAAGGCCTACCGCCCCCGCCTCCCTTTGAGGCCATTGATACTGAGTCCAGATGTTCAGTTTCTCAATGATTTTAGTTTCTGCTAGGGAGTAACAGATTAAAGCTGTTGCTAACTGCCTAATGCCTCAGCAAGGGACTATTTCTGTCAGGGTGATGTCCCTTAGCCTTTTTCCAAGAAATACCCACAAGGCAGTGGGGGCTTGGGTTTTGAGGCACCCTATACTCACCTTACTCTGGAGGTTTTAACATTGGGGTATTTTATAGGAACTACCCCATCACAAATAGCCCCATCGCGTTGCCACCAAGCCCTCTAAGTCAGATGCCATTTAGTTATAGCTAGGATCGGTTACACACACACACCAACTGGATCTTTGGCAGTTACACACACACACACACACACACACACACACTAACTGGATCTTTGGAAGTTACACACTCACAAACACAGATATACTCATATTTTGTACCAACAACTTGAAGAAGGGATTGAGAAAACTCACAGAAATGAGATGTTATAATACTGGGCGACTTCAATGCAAGAGTTGGATGTAATTTCAAGAATCGGCCTGGTATTCTGGGCAAAGATGGAATTGGTAATATGAATGAAAATGGCCAGCGACTGCTAGATTTTGACTTGCATAAAGTGTTATGCATTACAAACATGTACTTTGCTGGGAAAATCACAAAAAACACATGTCATGGAAACATCCAAGACCAGGGTACTGGCACCAATTAGATCTAGTACTGACCAGGCATAACCACCTGAAAGAAATCCTGCATACCAGGTCTTATCACAATTATGACTGTGACACTGACCATGCCTTAGTCTGCTGCAAAGTCAGACTCAATGTCAAAAAGACCTACCTTTACCAAGCTGCCAATCATCCTCAGATAGACATCAGTCAAACTGAAGACACAGAAAAATGTAGACTATTCAATGGAGAAGTTGTAAAACCAAGTTTTTTTAACAGCTCATGTATCAAGGGTTGGGAAAGCTTAAAAACTAACATGTACAAAGCTGGTATAACAGTGTTTGACAAAAAATGCAAGAAAAATGCAGACTGGCTTGAAGAGCAGTCCGAAACATTCTACCACTGGCTGAGAACAATGGGACAGTGCTAACCAACTATAAGAGATCTCCCAACACTATAACCCTGGAAAATCTGAGAAAGGATTGAAGAGAAATGCAGAGGGAAGCTAAGAGGTGTGCCCAAGATTTTTGGCTGACACTCTGTGCCAATATTCAGAAAGCAGCTGACACGTAATAGCCATGGAACGTATAAAGGCATCAAATGAGCAATTGGTCCAGTCAAGAAGAAAACAGCTCCACTGAAAGACTTAAATAGAAATGTCATTACAGATAAACAAAATCAACTTGAGCCTTGGATTGAACACTATGGAATTTTATACTCCAGTAAGACTGACACAAAGTAAATCAAACACAAAGAGCTCAAAGTATTACTACAGTTTGAAGTTATAATGGACAATGAGCCTACTTTAGAAGATTTGAGATTAGAAACATTAGAAATTTCATTCAGCATCAATGTAGAAAGCTGGGAGAAGCATGCAGAATCCCATCCAGTCTAAAGGGAACATCTGGCACTGGGTGCAGCTCAATATGAAGTGGCTTTGATTCAGAGGATGGAGGCAAAGCGAGAAAGAAGAAAACACCATGGTGTGGACTTGGACTCCAACTCAGACAACACATGGTTCTCTGAAACTTGTAATGAGCACCATCGCTCCTGAATTGGGCTTGTCAGCCACAACAGATTTATCAGGCACCTGACTAGACCTCTTACGTGTACACCATGATGTAGAGGATCGTTGGTTGCCTAACTAACTAACATAAGAACATAAAAGTCCCATACTGGGTCAAAGCAATGGTCCCTCTAGTGCAGGGGTGTCAAACTCACCCTGGAACCTGGCCTGGACCCGTATCACCAGGGCTCCTCCCAGGCCAGATCCCTGGAGCCAACAGCAGCTGTGGTGGACTTCTGTCCAGGCCAGTGGCATGGGTTGAGGATCAGGCAGCAGCATGTCTAGGGGCAGGCCACAGCATGGGTGAGGCATTGGACGGTAGCATGTCCAGGGCTGGGCAGAGCAGGTTGGGGTCAGGCGGCAGTGCAAGTCCAGGAGGTGGGCAGTGGCATGAGTCAAGGATCGGGCAGCAGCTGGGCAAGCAAGGGCTATATTTGCACAGCCTGTGCTTGCCTCCCTGCCACCAATGACCATGTCCACAGGGATCCAGAAACCCTGAATTCTGTGGCAGGCCATGGCCCACTAGCCTGCCAGACTGCTGGTGGGCCTACTGGAATTGTTCCACAAGCTGGATTCAGCCCACAGATTCTGCTTGACACCCCTGCTCTAGACCAGTATCCCGTATGCAACAGTGGCTGGAGCAAATCCTTTTAGAGGGACAGCACTGAACTGAATATATCTGCAGTGATCTGTCTACTGTTATACCCTCCCAGTCATTCACCAAAGTGATGCCCAGTGGCGATCAGCATGAACACAGGATTACCACCCCTGTCCTGCAAGCCCTTACCTAAGCAAGTATTCCTGATCCTCACAAACCTTTTGGTTGGGTTCAAAGAAGCCAGTTAGCAAGAGTAAGTTATTGTAAGTGCAGACTCTTTGCCACAGTCACATATCTGAAAAAATAATAGAAAGAACACTAAAAACACTAGCAGAGAAAGAGCACTACCTTTTCATTTCAAGATTGCTCCACTATGTAAGCCCCCTTTTAAAACAAATCTCACAGCTGAATGATTACACAGACCAGGCATATTTTTTAGGAATCATTTTAAGCAGATTTCTTCTCTCCCACAGCAAGCTGGGAATCTCACTCTCAGCTCTTGTATTGGCAGCACTTCACACAAGCTGTTGAGGATGCTGGAAGGCAGCTGATGAGTGGGAAAACACTTAGCAGGTCACTGAAAATAAAAAGACAATGCCATCAAAGAGCAAACACAAACAAGTACAGTCAAATGTTAAAAAGTAGCAGTGAAAGGCCCTTCGTTTCCATCTATCCAATATTAAATACCTTTTCAAAAGAAACTTGCTTCTTGAAAGCAAAAATTTGGCCTGCTCCTACCTTTCCAATTAAGTCAACTGCCAAGGACACTTTAACTGGATTTGAGTACCTGTAACCAATCCATCTTGGCAAGCGTGTACAGAATCTTTGTTGCTGGGACAAAAGTCCACTGAAAGTTCACAGATATTTTTTGCTCAACATGCTGCAAAAGACACAAGGGGCTGGGATCATACCCCCCTTGAAGTCATTGGCAAGCCTACCACTGACTTCACTTGCAATAGAAGCAGGCCCCCAAAGCTCAGAAGACAGCTGCGGGTCAACTGAGTGTTAGCAACAAGAGAAAATATCAGTGAGCACTACAAAAAGAAATGTTCCTACGGGTCCTCCTCCAACTTCCTGAGAAGTCTATGCGAGCTTTGCATAGATTTTAATGTTTGGATGGGACACACAGAAGCAGAGATACTAACAAGAACAGTTTCATCTCATTGTCCCTCCACCGCATCCCTTCAAAAATCGCCTTAGCCAAAAATCCTTAAGTATCACTCATCAGAAAGAGTGGACTCTCCATGCTGCTCTTTGTGATGATCCTTCATAACAGGAGCTAGATTCATATTCAAACAAATGGTTGTACCCTCATAACAGCATGCCTGCTACTCACTTACCTGGAAGTAGAACAGTTAGCAGAGTGTGCAGAGTTAGTTTCTCCAAGACGTTTTGCATCCAGGAGAATTGTGCCAAAAACCTGGAAGGAGAACACATTTTTTTCTGCATTTCCTGTGGGGTTTGATTCATAATTCCTACTTCCAAGTCAATTTTTGTCTTCTTTACAGTTACCGTATTTTTTAAATAAATGCTGAGTTGCTGATTCTAAGCTAGTTAATCAAAGCTATTTCCCTCTGCCAAATGCAAAACAATTGTAAAATTTATGAAGATTTAAGAATTGGGTGTATTACAATTACTATGCAAGGCCAAAATGACCTTTTCAAAGAGAGCTTCAAAAACCTTATATTATACCATATATGATACTGTAAGGAATTATAAAACTATAAACTTTGGTGGTTCAATTCATCCTGTAATGCACATAAAGAGAATGATGATATATGGGCATCATAGAAGTTAGACTCTAATTCATAAAAATTGAAAAATGCCATAATACTAGATAATGTGGTGGGGAATCCAGAATATGATAATAGCTTGCAGCCATTATCTCTGACCTAGACCCTGAATCGATCAAACCATCTTTGTTTTGCATAGCACTTGAACTGTTAACTTTAAATCCTACTGATTGTACTGAGACGTATGCACATGGTCAAAATTAAGCCTATTTTTAAAAGTGTTGCTGAATAGATAAACTTCAAGTGCTTAAGTGCTTTACTGAAATCCAAGCCAGAGCATCTTCTTGCATTACCCTAACCAGTTGTCCTGGCCATTTCACCAGTAATGCCAGCCTCACTATCCCTTTGGCTTCTCCTGTCAGTAACATTTTTGCGCTTCCCCCATGTAGCCCCTTTGTGCTTAGCAAAACTGAAATATACTTAACAGGCCTCTGCTCTCATTTCATCCAGGCATTCAGAAATGCTCACTTCTAAAAGGCCATGCCAAAAGTACACCTTTACACTTGCATCAGAACAATTCAATCCATTTGAACCTCTAAGGGGTAGCTATGCTAAAACTGGGGCTCTCAGAACATATCTGTATGTATTCCCTTGATCCTAGGTGTCCTTGTATTCATCTCATTCTCTTTTGCTCATCAAGCTCACTGTCAAGGATCCCCATCCCATAACTATTGCTGGAGTGTGACATCTTACCCCTGCACAGTCCTACTAAAGCCAATAGGTATCTGAAATAGGTACACACAAGTAATGACGGGTCTGAGGCCTTTTAGCTTCTAAACTGTTTCAGGCTGAGACTAAGCACCTGTAAAGCACCTGGCACACAATTTGCCATATAAAATAGTAGAAGCATAGTTATTACCCGAGGTCTTTTCTTTCTTATTCTTAATCATTATCAGCCCACCCCGATAAGAATGCAAACAACAGTTGTATTGTTGTATGACCTTGCAAACTCCTTGATGGATTAGCATGAGAAGGAGGCATCTCTGGAATGACAACATAGGCACACGCTCACCAAACACAAGGACATGCATTTACTACTGGGGGCAGGTACTAGAGATGCAGGTTATCTCCTCCTGTGCCTCATTCCCAAAAAAACCAATTTCCCTTTCCCTTTCCTTTTCCCCAGACAGGAATAATACCCCTTTCTCTGATCTCCTTCCTAGGGTTACTTCCTTAATCAGAACTCCTTCCAGCTGGAAGGAACAATAACATCCTTTATGGGCTCTGTGAGGAGGTGGCATACACAGAGACCCAGCCAGCATAGTAACTCAGTTACTTATTAACTCAGTTACAGTTCCCCTTTTAAAAAAGATGCATCCTTGGGCAAACTATGAAAACACCCAATTGTTACACCAGCCCAGAGTCCCAGTGTAGCCTGAGGAAGGAAATATCACTTGTCATAACCAGAGGTTCTGGCTAGCACAGGGATGAATCTACCAACCTTTGTGAAGTATAAGGAGTTCAGGTTGGGCACTGGCGATCCAAAACTGGTCTTCGACCTGACCAGCAAATTCTGGCTGTCACAAGGCTGTGACTTTCTTAATTCTAAGAGCTGTCCCATCTGGTCAGATATAATAATGGTAACATATGAAGCACTAACATTTAGGGCAGCAATGGGCTTCCCTGGCATATCCTTTGAACTTTGGCTATAAGGGCAGATGACTAAGAGGCTCCTATTTATTTACTCTAAGACAAAATGTAAGCCTTGCTCATATTTCATTGCCATCTCTTAACATACTCCCCATCGCTCTCAAGAATCACGTAAGATGTGATTCTGTCTGAAGTTTGAAATGTCTTTTCTGTAAAACATTTTGAAAATCTGACTGGGAGTCTAGGAATACTCATCTTAGACCCATTTGAATAAGATGGGCATTTCATGGCTTCTCACTTCCCTCATTCACTATAAAGTCCCTCTACCTATGCTGACATAACTCCCCTTTTTGCATATCTAAAAGAACTTGCAACCTGCATCAGAGTTTCCCAGTGTCTACCAAATTACTTCTTTTGTTATTTGCTACATCTATTATCTGGCCCGATATAATGCTTGAGGGCATTACATCCTCTGCCATAATGGTCCTGCATACACCAATGGGATCATACTGACAAATTACAGAAATACATTTTCTAGTTAGATGTATTCCTGTTGCCAGACTTTTTGCTACACTCTGGGCACATCTACGTATGCTATTAACATGCAGCAATACATTCCAGTGTGATATGCAATATTAACATGTAGCAATAAACTCCTGGGCTTGCCGTTTAAATGCGTTCCCAGGACCGCAGCAAGTTGAGCTGGGTTGGAGCAGCACCAGCTTACAGCCAGTAAAGCCTGACTCTAAGCTCCCAGAATAACTCCCTGCTTAGTTGTGACCTGAGATCTTCTGACAGCCGGAGAAAACACTACAAGGACACATTGAAGTCATACTTGAAGAAAATGGACACCAACATCAAGAGCTAGGAAAAGCTAGCTACTAACCAATTCCAATAGCACCACAACCTCAACCAGTGTCAGCCCACCTCAAGGTAAAGCATCTTGCCCCTGAAGCAGAGGAAGGAAAAGGATAAAAATCCAAGATGACTGTATATTCCCTCTTGCAGAAAGACCTGAATCTTCTGCAGACAGATCTGTGGCTAAAGATTAGACTCTTAAGTCGCCTCAAGACCCATCAATGAACCATGGCAGACATCATCCTTGAATTGAGGGAATGCTGCTGCCGCCACTGAATTTCAGCCAGGCCTGGCACGGGACTTATAAGAAAGCCCAGTTCTACTTCCACTCAATAATTTTTGGGCAAGTCACTTGCATCCAAAGAGCCTCCCAGCCCAAGATGAGTCAGAATTTATCTCTTTGAGGATCTAGGTCTTAGAAGTCCTCTTTGTTTCAGTTTTTCCTTTTTTCAAAATGTTGTCTGAATCTGAGTTACCCACCTTTAGAAAATGGTTTAAGATCTTCAGATAAAATAAATGCTACTGAATGAGTGCAAAGGGATAGTGGTGGTCATCATTGTCAGTGGTGGCTGTGATGCATGTTGTAAACCACAGGTTGTTTTTTTATAGCAGCATTTTAAGTTTCAACTTTGTTGTAGTCTGACATGAAAATCCTATTAAAAATTGGGAATATGCATCAGAGATTCCAAGAGGTTCAGAGTACAGAGGTACTTAACTCAGCTTTTGGAGTGCTGACATGTTTTGTAACAGGCATGATAATACTTAACTTTCTATAAACTAAAAGAGATTAGTACTTATACACAGTAAATGCATCTCAGAAGACACTTACTTTAATTAACCTACCACTGCAGGGTCCCTCTTGTCACAGGTGTAATGTGTACAGTCTTCTTCATGGAGTTTTTGGGATCCTCCACTAAAACAATGTGGTCTAGCTTCTTTCACTTCCTCTCCCCTCAACAAGCAGTGGCTGTTCTTCCCAGCATTAGGGGGAGAACAGGTTAGAATCACAAGACACCATGCAGCCCTATACTATTTGTACTACAAGGAGTCAGATGGGCCCTAGAGGACTGGCACCTGAAGGGGAGAAAGGCCAAGCAGGCACAGAGAGGTTCTTCCTGCAAGTTTGTCTAAATCTAGGAAAATGAGCATAGGCCTCTGTCAAACAGGAGAACTAGGCAGGGGCTGCTACTGTGTGTTGATCTGGGAGAAGCACAAGCTTTCCCTGGAGGTAGGTACAGTAATGCCCAAAGCTTCCTGGTAGCAATCACTCTGAAATCACTCAAGTGTTACTTAAAAGAATGGCTGCATAATACACAGCATCTCTAACCATTTTACAGTAGTGACTGCTTTGTCTTCTCCGTACAATTCTTTGCTCACTGAGCAAGAGTTTCAAGGTTTACTGGAGTGGTGCCAGGGTAAAGAACACTGATCTGCCCTAATGCTCATGCTACAGCTACAGGGGGTGAAAGCTACAGCCCACAGGTTGCTTTTGAGCCTATGACTAGATACCTAGGAATACCCAGTGGTATAATAAGCAGAGTTTATAATAAGCAGGAGTCTGGGGGTGGGGGGAAATGTTCCAAGAGCAGGGGGAGAGGGGACAGGTGCTGAGAGCAGGGGTAGGGGGACAATGTTCTCACCCACACCGGGAACTCTACAGTCCTGGCTGAGCTCCTGCTGCCAGAGCATGTACTCTGCCTACTCCAGCTGTTGCTCTTAAAACAGTAGCAGCTGTGGACCATTTTGGAATTCCCGACATAGGAATGCTGCCGGGGTGCAGACTCCATGAGGGTAAGGGGCAATGCCAGTGCCCCTCCTAACTTGGTGCCCAGTAGCACCCTCTTGCCCACCCCTAGTTATGCTACTACCAATGACTGTCCTCAGTCATGCCCTGTCTAATCTTTCAGGCCCAGAGCCTGTGATTTTCTATTGTTCTACACACAAATCTGTGATCTAACGGCCACAAAATCTGTTGTTCTACCACAGGGGAAATACTTCTTTCATAAGGGATATTTCCTTGCATTTTGTGGACATCTATTGGTCTATTCTACTTCTGCTTGACATGAAAGTGTCTGGGCATGGCAGCCATTTTCAATACAACAATGTTTTGTGTTTGATTTAAGCCCTTCTTAAAGAAAGGCCAAGCCGCTATTTATAACCTATCCTTTTACCCAAAGTTCATCATTTCTTTTTGTTTCCTAAAACTCAAAGATGTAATTGAATATTTTGCAGAAAGTAAAGATCAAATAAAACAACTTATTGATTCTAACCAGAAGCAGACAAATTACATTGCAAAGACTAGCTAGCTCATTTTTATTTGTATTATTCCATTTGATTAAGGGAAATAATAGCTAGACATGTAGTGAGAAAACTTATTCTGAAAAAAGGATATGGAGGCAGAAATATTCCAGGGAAGGGTCAAACTCTCTGGCAGCAGATTATTTTGTCCAAACATTCTAGCTCAATAAAATGTTCCAGCTGTCAATGAAACATTTAGCTCTTTCGTCATAGAATCTTACAAAATGTCATATTCACCCACCAGTAATCATGTCATAAATTTATTTCAAAACATGTGATTGATTACAGTGGAGATATAAATTGGAACACAGAGTAAATATTAGCAAGAATAGAACTTGCATAGTACACAGTACAGGAATGCAATACACAAAGACCAAAGAAGACAATATACAAAGACAAAGGAGGACTGA